TCTTTCTACTCAACTCAAGTTTCAGATTGCGAGATTATCCATCGAAGACATGCATATGTCTTCATCAGATGATAATCTRTGACCYADAAACCTTTTTAATCTCAAAAGAGAAGAAGAGAGTTCTTAYATTTTAGGAACCGATTACACCTTTGGGTGACTTGAGTCCTGCATGCAATCTTTTATCTTATAGCTTTCCGAAATCTAAAGACTCCCAATTGTTTCCTTTTCTATCTGGATCTTACTCAAGAAATGAGAATTTAGGGTATTATATGTCTCTATTCCTGGAAATCTAGAGTCGAAACCATCCCCATTTGCTGCCATTCTTGGACATGCAACCGGTTTTGGGGGAGGTGTGCGACTCGAGGTTATAATTGTTCTTGGGAAGGGTGTTAAACCCACCCAAAATCTTCAAATTCCAACAGATGGCGGCTGCCATCATCTRCTTTGGAAAGACATTAAATGATGTCATTATTTGAATTTTTGAAGATATTCGTTAAGGCTAATGTTTAWGCRTCCRCTACTTTGGTAATAGCATCTGACGGATTGCCTTGAAAACAGTTTTTCACAACTTAAGTTTTGGAGGTTAGAAATTCTTATTAAGAATTGGTCACCCTGTCAGGAAGTCCGAACAGGTGATAGCAAGCCTCCTAARGAAAGCAATTGATTCTCGCCAAACTGTGAGTTTCACGACCCCTTTTTACCAATTTATCGTTTTGGGGTGAAAAGCATGATTATTGAATATTTGATGGATTTATATCGCTATATKAATCTTGTTAYGAGTATTTAAATGTATACATTATTGATATGTTGAGACTGAAAGTCCCCGTTTATTTCCAGTACTATTAATTCATTTTGAACCCATGATTCTTGTGGATGGCGCTATTTGGTTGTTATACCCACCCTTTATATTAACAAGAAGGGTGCACTTGGTCATTAAATTTTGCTCTGCACATGTGGGATTTAGTCCCMCCGCTGAGGTAGTCCGGTAGGAGTTCTACACATGTGACACAAAGTGGTCACCGCTGAGGTAGTTCGACATGAGTTCTACACATATGGGGTTTAGTCCCACCGCTAAGGTAGTTCTTGTATATATGATCTACACATGTGGTTCGCTACCACCTCTGAGGTAGTTCATGGGGCGTTTTTAGGTTTAGTAGTGGCTCAACAATTTTCAATCATGTGTATGTCGTTATTTTAAAGATATTGCTCATAAATCTGTAACCAAGATTGATGCATTTAAAATTATTTTTATGCATATTAAACCTGTGAACTCACCAACTCTTGTAGTTGACTATGCTTTATGCCATGTTTTCAGGTACTAAGTAAGTTATGTGGACTCTAGGGAGCATTACTTGGATCACATCGATTAAGACAGTTTTTATTGTATTTCAATTACTTTTGTAACCTTGGAATCCTGTTAAGTCAATGAACTATTTTTTTTATCGTGAATCTTTGTTGAAAGTGTTTCTCTTAAACTGTTGCCAAGACTCGCTTGTCTGTTAGCATTCCGTGTTTCCGCTTTAGCGGGGTGTGACAAATTTGGTATCAGAGC